GACAGAGACAGAGATCACAACTAGGCAGAGAGGCAGGGAGAGAGAGAGAGGAAGGGAAGCAGGCTCCCTGCTGAGCAGAGAGCCTGATGCTGGACTTGATCCTGGGATCATGACCTGAACCAAAGGCAGAGGCCTCAACCCACTGAGCCACCCAGGTGCCCCCCAAAATATGTATTTTTTGAGGACCCACATTTAACTATCAGATATTAGAGATCAATGCTTTAAAACTACATGCACATTTTTTCTAAAGTACTTTCATTCTTTTAAAGCTAAATCACTCCTACAACTCTTCCCATCTTGTATATATATATTCCTTTGACATACTAGAGACTATGAAAAATGGAGATATTTTGATATCGCAAAGAAAATTATCAATGAAGAAATTCTGAAACTGACTGCCTTATAAAACCAGGAAAGCTGGCAGGGACGCACAAAAACAATTATTTCATTCCTAACTATACTTCTATCAGATATTTCATATTGTCACATGCTTGGACCATTATACAAAAAATTAGACTGTAGTTATTTTAAGTATAGCAAATATGTTCCAAGATTTGTGATGAGAGAGGTCAGTGTCTAAAAGTTAACAAGACTTAACAGCTTAACAATGCCTTTCACTCCGTATAGTTATAAACTACCAAAGCCATTTAACAATAACAAATTAGCTGATCAATTTATTAAACTCTTACCAACCAAGCAGAGTTCAAGCTCACTGCATATTTTATGTTGTGTGGACAATCACAAGTTTCCAGTCATTTAATATTTTATTATTCTTTTATTTTTAGGGTAAGTTTTTTCCTTAAAGTTGTATTTTAGATGATCTAATTATCTTCCAACAATTTTTGCTCCATTAGAACTTGGATACTCTCAGAACTTCTATAAAAATCACACAGATTTATTGGAAAGTCTACAAAAGAATCCCCCTTCTAGTTTTAAAACAAACTAGATGAGCTCTATTTGGTCTATTCTGACAACGATTTTATTTGAAGTTTGATCACTACCCATTTCCTGTGCAGAGTTCAGTGTATCCTGTCTATAGTTACTTTTCTCAAACTAATAATGATGATCCTCTACCAAACTGCAAGAAAGCTGCCTAGCTTTGAGTATCATCTAAGAATTCCCATAAATTATTTTACATGGATACTGACATAATGCCTAATTCTTTAATGCTTTTATGTTTCAAAAACTTAGCATGACCACATTTTGGAAAGGTACCTTACTGAAACGTAAGAATAAGTATCATTTTGAAAGCTCCGAATCAGTTTCCACTTCTAACACTTAGAAATTGTGACTTTAGAAGGGTCAACAATTCCCTGTGGTCAAACTGCCCTTCAATGAGTAATTACAGAGCTCTCCGTTAAAAACTTTCCCCTTTAATTATAAATTCAATGTAACTTAAATTCTGTATGGACACAGAGAAAAAACCGAGAGCCAATTGCAAACAAGGGAATAAAAGAATCAATCGCAATGAATCCTATTAAATCACCCTAACCCCCAAGCAGAAAATCTAAAATTGATAAAATGCTCAGACAACGGCTAGGCATCCTCCTAACATCAACCTATTAATTTTCACAACACTAATAAAGCAGATGTCAAGTACCTCTATTTTAACGGATTAAAGAATCCTAAGACTGACAGACTCTCTCAAGGTCACCCACAAAGTTAGAGATCAGCAGATTACACTAAACTCTCGGACTCTGTACTCTATTTCAAACCAAACAATGTTAGATCAAACTGAAAAATGGTACAATTACCTCATTCTATGTTGTTCTATATCTGTGCTGCCCAGTAAGAGAGCCAATAGCTTCATGTGGCTATTAAGCAGCCAAAATGTAGCTAGTACAAACTGATATACACTTTAAATGTAAAATACAAACTGGATTTTGAAGACTTACTATGAAAAGAATATAAAATATCCCAGTATTTGTTTACATTGCTGATGTTATATTGGTATCTTGGATATACTGGATTAAATACAATTCACTGGTCAGCGATGATCCAGACTTCTTGTTTTTTGTTTTCTTTTTTAAGACTTTATTTATTTATTTATTTGAGAGGAAGAGACAGCAACAGAGAAAACTTGTGGAGAGGAGAGAGAAGAGAAGGTTCCCCACTGAGCAGAGCCTGACATGGGCCAGAGCTCCAACCCAGGATCCTGGGATCATGACCTGAGCTGAAGGCAGATGCTTAACCAGGTGCCCCAGGTCCATACTCCTTTACAAAAACCTCCCAATGAAATAGATGTCATCATTAAGACCTAAACCAAAAGCAGTATTTTCTTAGAATCTGTTGTGACAAAACATAGTAACCATATTTGGAGGGGACGGTTATGGGCATAGTAAGTATTCTGAGGAACACAGACATATATGTAATTAATAAATACACAAAATAGACCACTCTAGTGTTCTCTAAGAATGGTAAAAGAAGTTGCTATTTCATTACAGGTATATGTGACTTTAACTAAGTGAGGAGAAAGTATAATTTCCATTAGAGTCAAGTCATTTCCTTAAGTGAAAAGATCCCTATTCCTTTTGTACACACAGGGTTATCAAAGTCATCAGGGATGCCCATAGGCACTATAAACTTCTCAAAAAAATCTGGTTAATGTGTATTTATAGTTATTTTTTTTAAATCACCTATAATATTGTTTCAAGAGAGTCAGCACAATCTTATTTTGACTAAAGTAATGAGAAATTCACAGTAAGAGGAAACATCAATTTACAAAACAAAACAAAAACAAACAGGACCACTATAACAGTCTGGCAATCCCAGAAAAAGTTACACATAAAGTTACCATATGACCCACTAATTCTACTCAGTGGTATATAACCAAAGGACTTGAAAACAAGTCCACACAAAAATGTATACACAAATGTTCATAGCAGCATTTCACATAATAGCTAGAGTGGAAACAATGCAAATGTCCATCAACTGATGAATGGATAAACAAAATGTGGTATATCCATAGGCTGGAATATTATTCAGCATATTTTTCATCCACAAAAAGGAAGGAGGCATTGTTATATTTTTGTTACATGTGTGAACCCTGAAAGCATTATGCTACCTAAAAGAAGTCAGTCACAAAAGATCATACATTGTATAATTCCATTTATAGGAAATATCTGGAACAGGCAAATCCAGACAGACAAGAGAGTAATGGGCAATAGAGATTACCCATGAGTTAGGATTTCTTTTTGGAATGATAAAGATGTCCTGAGTTGATTGTGCTAATGGTTGCACAATTATGTGAAAACACCAAAAGCCACTTTAAATAGGTGAATTGTACAGTGTATGAATTACAGCTCAATGAAGCTGTTTAAAAAAAAAAAAATGCAGCCAGAAATGTACATGAGGGAAAGGATTAAAACGGTCAGGCATCTAATAGCTGTTTTTTGGGAATTCATAACTTAGGGTATTTATGTTTTTAAATTTTGTAATTCTTTTCATTCTAAATATTGATATTAGCAAAAAAGTTTCATTACATCATTACACAAGTAGGTAAATTTAACGAAAAAATCATAAATTGTACATTTAAAGTATTAAGGATGGCATGTGAATTACCTCAATAAAAATGTTAAAATTTTTTCACTAAAAAAAGGATCACAGGATGTCTCACATTAACCTTAAAACAATCACAGAACTACAGCCACAGCCCCAGATATTTAAAGATCCTCAAACTACAAAACCCGCTAAAAACAACACAAACTACCTCAGAGATTGAATGGCTTTGTGAAAAGCTCAAAAAATAATTACTATCTCAGTGAAGCAATGCTCAAAGTTCAGAAACAGGTGATGGGAATTTCAAGATTTTAGTATAAAAAAGGACACAGGGACAATACAAAAAATACAACTTGACCACTAATCTTTTATAAGCTAAACTCCTGATTCAGATACAGGATGCAAGCATTTAAAAAAAAAAAAAAAAAGATTTACCTAGACTCTTAAAACTAAAGGGAAGAAGTCTTCAATCAAAATTCTGTGATTTGTGTGTGTATGTGTTTTACCCACACACCTCATGTAGCCTAACAACCTCGGGAAAAGCTGTATCGAAGAAACTGTGAAGGGTTTTTTTTTTCACCTTTTTAAAATAATAAAACGTGATGGTGCCCTTCCATAGCCCACCCCATCCCCCACTACCACCACCAGCAGGTGGAGGGAAAGGATACTGTAGACTAGAGGATGACAGCTTTGTATAACCCTGTGGACTTTATATGTAAGAATGCAGCTGGTGGTCTCTCAGGAGGGGATAAAGAGATTTGTGAGCAAGCTGAAATAAGGGGTATTCTTTGCCTGGAAGAGGGCACACCGTGAGCCACATCTTCAATCAGCTATATCCAGAGTAAAACACAGGCCGCTGGAAGGCACTGTTAGCATCATCAGGATGGCCTCTCACGCCGGGGGTGTTTTTTTTCAACGGAGAAGTTGACTCCTGTAGTTTGGATATTGGGGGGGAGGCAGGGGTAAAGCGGGAGTCGGGAAGACCAGAAAAAATGCCTTTAAGTGGAGACGACTCGGACCCCGCAGGGGAAGTTCCGAGCCCCACTCGGTCGCCACACACTCGTCCCCCCCCCCCCCCCCCCCCCCCCTCCTCGCGGCGCCAGACGTCGCGGCCCGGGAGAGAGCCGGAATCGCCGCCGCTGCCGGGGCTGGGGCCGCAGCCCGGCCGGGGCAGCGCGGCACACGCACGCCTCCTCCGCACTCGCCGCGCCCGGCCGCCCCGCCGCGCGGCCCAGCCCCTCGCACCCGCGCCGGGCCGGCTCCCCGGGGCAGGCCTAGGCCGCGTCGGCCGTACCCCAGCACCTCGCTCCCGGGCGGAGGTGGACCAGGCCCGACACAAACTTCCCGGCGCGTTCGCAGAGGCGTCACGGACTGGCCGGCCCCCAGCGCCATTCCCCCGCGGCCCGGCGGCGGCACCCGCCCCTACTCCCCACACTCGGGAGTCCCGGCGGAGATCGGCCCGAGGCCCACAGCCCCCACCCCTCCGGCGCCCCCGAGTTTACCTCCAAGTCGCGGCCTTTGTTCTTGAAATTCTTGAGCCGTTGGTTGTCCAGTTTCTCGTTGTCCGCCATGGCCGGGCCGGTGACTCCTTCCCCCGCCCGGGCCCCGCGGGATCCGCCCCAACCACCACGCCGCACCGACCCTCCCAGGAACCGGGCCGCCGCCTGAGCTGCAATGCCCGCCGGGCCGCCGCTTCCTTCCTCCTCTCACCTGCCTCCGCCGCGGCCTTCTCCTCCTCTCCCCGCCCGCCCCCCCCGCCCTAACCCCACCGCGACCGCAGCTCCGACGAAGACAACTGCGGGGCCGGGCGGCGGCAACGGCGGCGGAATGTGCTGCCGGCTGAGAAGGGGGGAGGCAGCCTCGATCTGAGGGCCCCGGAGCCGCGACCACGCCCATCACCGCCAGCCCAGTTCGCCGATTGGCCAACCAGGCTCCGGTGCGCTCCACCAATCAAAAAGGACGATGGAGAGCGGGGGCGGAAGAGAAAACGGAAAGGGGAAGAGAGCAGCGTTGGGAGGAAGGGCCGGAGGACTGGAGGGCTGGGAGGGGCGCGGCGGGGGCAGGGCGGGGAGCGACCACGTGCCTCGGGAGCTACGGGGAGGAAGCGAAAGAGAATTGGACCACTTGAGGGGAGGCGGGGAAGGGGAAGGAGAGACCCGGGAGCGAGTTGGTTGCTCTAGTCCGGCCGCCCCAGATCTCTGTGTTCTAGGTTTGAAACGGAGTTAAAGTATTTTTTTTTTTTCCGGTGCTCCTTCTCTTTCAGGGCATTGCTTGCGCGCTCCGTTGACTTTACAGGAAGTAGGAGATGCACATTGGCTCAGTCCGGTGGGGGCACGCCCTTCCCCCACTCCCCAAGGTCCATTCCCAGGCTGGGGGTCCCCGCCGTTTGAGAGCAAGGCCATAGAGTTTGGACCCGCTGGGGTGACGTGCGTTCGGGAGTCGCGGCGGAAAGCGAGAGGGACAGTGGGTGGAAAAGGGAAAGGACGCAGTACGCAAATCTGATTCATCCTTTCAGACCGTCCCCGAAACAGGTAGGACCTTGGGAAGCGCTGACGATCCGGTAATGATAACCGCCTCTTAGGTATTTCGTTTTAGAAAGTTAAAAAAAGTTACTTGGCCAGAAAGTACTAACTTCTGTAAGGCGGTGACTGTGGCACCTGACATAATAATGTAGTATTGTAACTGTTGAGGAAGAAAATGAATTCCCAAGGATATACATTTGTATCAGAATATAATTACTAGACGCAGAAATAACACAAGCTACGAAGGAACGTGTTCAAATATTTCAGAAAAAGTGGGAAGGAATGGTTTAAAAATATATTTACCAATTAATAGCACTTCAAATATGCAGGAAACGAAGTAGGCAGCAAAAAACTCAGGTCGTAAGGAAAGGGGGCCGTGTAGGAGTATTGGGTGTGTTTAAATTTGGCGAGGTATGGGGATTTCTTTCGGGAACTTTTACTCCTCGCCCTCCCCTTTCCTCCCACTTCCTTACTGATCTGAATACCTTCAAAAGTATACTTTCAAACGCCTAGCGGAGCGGAAGCTGTACCTGGAAATAATTCACACTGAAGGTTAACCTGAATGTAAATTCATTGCAGATCTTAAAATATAAATGAAGTTCATCATAGATCTTATTCTCCAAAGAATAATTTAATTGAAGTAACATTGCACACTGGAGCACTGATGTTTTCAAAAAAAGTTTAGGATAAGAAAGTTCAGTTGAAAAGATGGAGTGTGTGTGTGTGTGCGCGCGCGCGCGCCACCATTATGGATTTTTGTTATGAACCGAATTCTGTAAAACAAATTACTGGTTGAATTCCCACCCTATGAATATGTTATCCTGTCGACATTCATATATAAACGAATATTTTGTACTTCTTGGTATAAATTCCGTGATAGCTTTCATGATGAAGTTTATCAAATTGTCTATCATCCTATGTCTGTTTCTCCTAGCTACAACTGATTGGTAATTAAACAAAAACTTGAGTTTCTCTGCAGAATACCCCTAAAGAGAAGGGTGTGATCACAGTTACCCACTGAGAGGGACGCAGTACAAACAGGAAATACAACAAAATGATTTATTTTCTTTTATTATTATTATTTAATGTCTTTCTAAGGTCTGTCTTCCTCTCTAAACAACAACTTCTCTGAAGTCAAGGAACATACTTGTTTTGTTCCGTATCATGTATGTATTCGGCACCTAGTAGTACTTCGCATATGGTATGCCGTCAGTGACTATTTGTCAAACACAGGACCTGAATCTCAGCTTTTTTTAATGAATGTTCCATAAGTTAAAAAACAAGCCATCACTTTTTGATTAAGAATGTGGATTAAGTTGTTAGTGCTTTTAAATATATATATTTGTTAAGATTTTATTTTTATTTGTCAGAGAGAGTGAGTGCGCACGCACAGGCAGGCAGAGTGGCAGGCGGAGGCAGAGGGAGAAGCAGGCTTCCTGCGGAGCAAGGGCCCAATGTGGGACTGGATCCCGGGACACTGGGATCATGACCCGAGCAGAAGGCAGCCGCTTAACCGACTGAGCCACCCAGGCATCCCAAGTTCTTAGTGCTTTTAATTTACACTGGGTCCCTTCTAAGAATTCTTAATTTTGTGTCATGCTTAGTCCAGGGACAAAGTTCAGGGAGTAGATCAGACAGGCTTCAGGGCAGACTCCCCCTATATGTTTAAAAATAGTTGTGACACACTTTGCAGAGTGGAACAATTATGCGTAATTACAATGCTTAGGTTTGCTGGCCTAAATTTTTCATTTGAAATTATAACTGTTCTGTACTTTCGGTTCTTCCCAGATAGAACATACCTAGTTTATCAGAAGGGTAAAGAAGTTCTTCCAGGTGTTGGTAATAGCTCTAAATGCATATTGGCAACCTAATTGGCAAGATATGGTAGCTCTAACTGTAGTTAGGAGATTTCAGAAATTGAACTTGCAGAACTAAGGAAGTAAATGCAGCCATCAATACCATTTCAACAGACTTTTTTGTGTGTATGAAATATAGTTATAATCAAACTATAAAACCTATATATAACACCTGTTTTCAAATAGGATATTCAAGGTTAGGTAACATCATATCCTGACTTATTCTACTTTAGTATAAGAAGTCTAAAATTATTATGGAGATCCTTGCTTTCAATGAATGTGTCATGAAATTCTCCTCTTGGTCACTTTTGGAATAAAGAAATTTTCTTTGCAGCAGAGATTTGTGAAAGGATTTTGAAGGTTTATACAGGTTTTAGTTGATCAAATGTAATTTCAAAAAGAATTATAATTGATAATTCATTCAAGCAATTTGGAGTATTCTCATGATTCATACATTAAATTAAAGACTGTGGAGTGTTTCTTTAATCTATAATATGGATCTTATAGTTTCATTTTCTGTTTGGGGAATTATGTATGATTTCTTGAGCAGAACTGGGTAGTATATGCTGAAACAGGAAGCAATTTTATCTGTTGCTAAATCTTAACTAAAATTTAATTTGTGGGATGCCTGGGTGGCTCAGTTGGTTAAGCGTCTGCCTTTGGCTCAGGTCATGATCCCAGGGTCCTGGGATCGAGTCCTGCAGTGGGCTCCTTGCTCAGCAGGGAGTCTTCTTCTCTCTCTTCCTGCCGCTCCTACTTATGCTTTCTCCCTCTGTATCCCTCTCTGTCTCTCTGACAAATAAATAAATAAAATCTTTTTTAAAAATGTGATATGTGTTTTTTATAGTTGGACTGGTTCGTTTTTTGAGAGAAAAACATTAGACCTTTGGTAATACACCTTATTTTCTTAGGAAAACATAGCTAGTCAGGAATGGGGGGCTTCATTTATCCTCTTTATTGCCAGGATTTTTCTGACTTACAACTTGAGAACTCTGGAAAAAACTACTTCTTTACTCTGACTGAAGTTCCTAGATGGTAAAAGATGATGGATTAAAAGGCTACCTGTGGGTATTAATTTGATTGAAAGAGATGAGCCACACAGTTTTTCTTTAACTTAGTTTTTTTTTTAATTCAGTTTTGACTAATTAATGGGAGAAAACTTATAATTCTTGAGTACAAATCATTGATGACTAATTGATATCTATTTGTATTGCTACCTGGCAGACAGCCTAGTAGATTTTCTAACTTGCTTTTTATTTGGCCTAAAATAATGCTTTTAATTTTTAAAAAATAAATACTACAGAAGGAGCCATCTAAAAGCCAAATGGTCAAGAAGATTGATCATGTGACTTAGAGCAGTTTCTCTCAAACAGAGAGTTCCTCAGAACTTCCCAGTATTAGTAAATGTTTGTTTAAAAAAAAAAAAAAGTTTTCTTGGTCTTAACAATTTTAGGAACTTACAGGTGGGTGGTAGTGGGAACTTTAAGACATTAGTGTTAGGCAGAACACTATTTGGAAACTTGAAATCAGTGAGCCTAGAATGATCACTATCACTCCTCAAACATTTTTGTGTTAATAGCAGCAACTACGTATAATGACTTACAAATTGCTAGTATTTCAGAAGTTTGCTTGGAGATTAGTTCTTTGAAATATATGCATAGAAACACGGTCATGATTAGTGGATACGTGTTCAGGTTAGCCTACAAAGGCTTATTTAATCCATAAACGACTTCCATGAACATCACAAAGCCTGATCACATTATGCAGCAGTATTTCTATGAGGAAAATATTTGGATTTGCAATTTTTTTTTTAAGATTTTATTTATTTGACAGACAGAGATCACAAGTAGACAGAGAGGCAGGTAGAGAGAGGAGGAAGCAGGTTCCCCGCTGAGCAGAGAGCCCGATTCGATTCGGGGCTCAATCCAAGGACCCTGGGATCATGACCTGAGCCGAAGGCAGAAGCTTTAACCCACTGAGCCACCCAGGTGCCCCTGGATTTGCAGTTTTGATAAGGAAGAGCACATCTCTTATCTTTACCTCTATGCACCAGGAACTGTCTAGGTACTGAAGTTATAAGGATTACGATGTTCCTTACATTAGAATTCCATGCATCAGACATTCTGCAAGTTCATACCTTACCTGATGCCTGGCCTAGCCTCTTACCATTCAGACTCCCATCCTTTCCAGTAACTTATGCTGGTAAAGAGGAAGCTTAGGATTCTAGGGGCTGGTAAATAAAGAACTGGGGGTGGATAAGGTATGGGTTCAACCTCTTGCCCCAAT